TTAATGGTCATGTTAAAAGTGTTTGGACACAGTTAGTTGCTTCTAAACTATACATTTCATTTCATTGTGTTTTTGGTCATAAGGGACATTCCACATAAAAGCAATTGATTTTCTTTGATCTCTAATTTTATACACTAATACCCCTCCAGTTCCGCAAATGCCTCCAGAAGCACCCCAAACTATACCTTCGTTACTCTTGACTACATAGGGAGGCGCCTGAGTGTCATTACCTGAAGAAAAATATTTTGTTGGATACTCAAAAGTATATGGTGAACGGTTATAAATAGCAATAGCAATTTTTCTCGAGGCGTCACCTAAATCCTATATATTACACATAAAATTAACCAAACAAAATAAATAAATTAGCTGATGACATCTAATTTGTATAATTACTTCTAGCTTTTCTTTTAAAATATCTGTAGTGATTAAGTTGCAAGTATAAAGACCAAATTCCATTATTTAAATGTACGGTAAAAACAAAATTGATGCCTTAATAAAGAAAGGAAGAATTTTGTTGTTTTTGTTATTTGTTTCTCTGATGATTAGCGTTAGAAATTACCATAACTGTACGCGCACATAATGATTTTTATAATACAATATCGATTTGATAGCAGGTCTTGTGATGGTGAATTTTATAAGAACAATACGATTAGTGTCCTGGGTACTACGGTGCATAATTCTGCTCAAGCCAAAAATAATTTTTACATTGTTTTTTATGAGAACAATATAAAAAATTATTTATAACGTGAGCAGAATTATGCACCGTAGTACCCGATATACGATACGGTAAATGTACATTCTCAACCAACCAAATGCTGTGTACGGGAACTATGCTTAATAGTACAATGCCTGAAACTTTATTTTTTGATATTCCAAAGAAAAATCCTCAAATTAAACGGGTGTAAAAATTTTAAATATTGAGACTTAACGTTAAATATGCCTGTACTATACGTTCTTGGATACTCGGACATGCGAAAATTTTAAAACACCGGGTTTGAGACTAAAATTGCTTCCCCATAAAATCTACGCTATCCCTGCACACGTATATTCGAAACGTGCAGAGGCCTCCGATCAATATTACGTACAGGCTAAATCTAGCTTGGGTAAGTGATTATCTCATATTACCAAATACAGAAGTTAATAGAGATCATACTTGAACCTTAATTGTGTTTCCTCATGATCCTGATCTTTGCATCATTGCTGGGATCTGTATCAGCTGGTAGTATCTGATTGGTCCCTGGCCTTTGGTCATTGGGGCTAATTTCAGTCAAATACGACTTCGGCATCTGAAGTTACAACTTCAGGGATGATGTTGTTACTTTAAATTTGTACATCTTATTGAAATCTTCTGAAAACTCATAAAATTTCCAAATATCTTCTTATTAGAGTTGGGATCCTTTGAATATCCATTACAGTTATTTAATGAAATTTGCAGATTTTAATGACTTATGAATAATAATGAATAAATATATATTTTACTGAATATTCATAAGAAATTTGTAGATATTTAGAAAATTCGTAAATGTTTATAGAGAATTTGCAGATATTCAAAAAATTCACAGATATTTGTAGATATTCAGAGAGAATTCATGGATATTCAGAGAATTTGCGGATATTCATAGAGAATTCTTGAATATTCAGAGAATTCGTGAATATTCAGGAAATTCATAAATATCCATAAAAAATTGTGGATATTCGTCAAATATAGCATTATATTTCTTATACACCAAAAACACAATGAAATGAAATGTATAGTTTAGAAGCAACTAACTGTGTCCAAACACTTTTAACATGACCATTAA